GCCAACCCCGCGGCCGTCCGAAAGGTCTTCTTCACGGGCATTCTCCTTCTGCAGTGCATTGCGATTCCCGCTGCGTACCTCGAGTCGGACAAGATGACGCAGTTTGCGCATGTTGAGGGGCTTCTCTACGTGCTCCGGTTTGCTTCAAGCGCCGACGCGTCGCTGCTTGTCTGTCACCTCACCGACTTGTTTGGCGTCTACCATGTTGGCACCATGTATGGCCTCTCATCGATCACGTGGGCCATTGCCCAAAGCCTCCTGGTTGCGACGTCGGGCAATGACACGGCGGCGCTCGCGTATCAAGTGCGCCTGCTCGGGTGGCTTTCGCTCCTTGGGCTTGTTGCGCTGCTGTTTGTGCGCGCCGACTCGGCCGATCGGTTCTACCGCGGGTACCGGTTTACGCTTTGCGGCAAAGTCGTGGTACAGCGACCGTGGCAGGAGCCGCCACAGCGTCAAGGCACTTTTGATATTTACACTGACGGGTTTCACGTCGATGCGATTCGGAGCTCAGTCCCGTACCTCTGCGCTCTCGACTCACCCGACGAAGCGGACGACTGGCTTGACGACGACGCACTTGTCCGCGCATCGAATGAAGATCAAACTTGACCTACCGTTATTTAGTTGATTCGAACGAGGTGATAGTACTCTTCTGTTGAAATCTGATTCGTTTTGGCACCTTCGTGGACGGTCAAGAACACTAAGTACGCTCGGTTTATATGTTGAGCGCAGTACATTGTATGCGTGGGTATACCACTCCTAATGTCCTATAGGCGGCGGGGAGGAACTTTGGACGCATTTTGTGGACGCTTCTTGCTCCACGAGAGGATTCGAAAAAGTACGTTGCTTGACACTGGGCTGGATTGGTCGACAACGTCGTTGTCGAGGTGGACGAAAAGAGTCTAATACGCGCTGCTTTCATTTCTCGTTCATTTTCGCGTGGGTGTGGTGCCTTCACTGCATCCATCCGTAGAGCACGACGGTACCAAGTATCGTCTCGTCCTCGGATGCTCGAGTCGAAGGCTCAATCGATGGACCACTCATTCTCGTTGCAAGTGACGTGATGGGTTCGCAACTACTTGTCGCCAAATCAAGCAACGTCCAACACGACGAAAACAATGATACGTGTGGCCAGAGGAGCGGACCGGAGGTTAACACTGGCCACAACCGTGCGTTAGTGTGGTC